GATTTTACCATTGATAATTTTCACATGCTTGCACCACTTGTGACAACTGAGATAGAGAAAGTAACTAGAATTTTTAAGAGAACTCAACTGCTAGTGTTCTTTTAAGGTGTTCAGTTGACTTATTAGCTGATTCATTCTCTTTAGTTTTTGGATCATCTGGTAATGGAAGCTGTTTGCTTCATGGAAATCATCATGCATGGAACAACTCCTACTCACATCAGCAGCACCCTTCAAGTGCTAGGATTTGGCCCAATTCACCCTCTTTTGTCAATAGTCTTCAGCATATGCCTGCATTTCCTAGAGTACCTCCTGTTATGCTGAATGCAGCATCACCTGTACACAACCAACCACATTGGGTTGGCTCCACCACTTAATTCACCATTATGGGACAGGCAACATGCCTATGCTGGGGAATCTCCTGACACCTCTGGTTTTCACTTGGGATCTCTAGGGAGTGTTGGATTTCCTGGTAGTTCTTCATCACACGCTGTGGAAATTGCTTCTCACAACATTTTATCACATGCTGGTGGAAACAATGGTGTGGTACACTCTCCTCAGCAAATGTTTCACCTTTTCCCTGGAAGAAACCTTGTGATATCCATGCCAGGCTCTTTTGAGTCTCCCAATGAACGTGTGAGAAATTTCTCGTACCATAGAAATGAATCAAATTCTAATAATGCTAATAAGAAACAATATGAACTTGACATTGACCACATCATACGTGGGGAAGACAGCAGAGCAACGCTGATGATGATAAAGAACATTCCAAACATGTGAATGATTTTCCTGTTACACCAGCTATTTTCTTCTTTGTTTACTTCATCTTCCATCTTTCTAGTTATACATTTGTCATTTGATTTCAATATTTTTCTTTATGTTGAAACTGTCATATGATGGAACATTTTTTCCTTTACTAAGGTCATGTCTGGTTATATATTCCTAACTTCCTATGGAAATTTCTCAATTTTTAGCTTGTTTTCATAGTTTAACCTAGGAATAGCCAGTCCCCCCAACTAAACAAGCCCTAAAAGATCTAGAATCTGTAGATGTTGTGACTAGGAGTAATAGCAGTTGACTTTGAAATCACAATTGCTATTCCCTTAGTTTTGCTTATATTTTTGACAGTATTGTGTGAGTCATTTTAATGACCATAGTCTATAATGTTGTTAAATTAAATCCAGTGTTGGTGGTGAATGATTGATAATTACATCATATGTGATACCATTCCTGTTGTTTGAGGCCAAAAAAAAAAAGAAAAAAAAGAAAAAAAAAGGAAACTATTCTGTTATGGAAACTTTTGCTTCTGGTTTCCCCTTTTTCCTTATCTATTTCTTTATCAATCTGATAGCCTTTTTTATGCAGGTATACTTCAAAGATGCTCTGGCTGCAATAGATGAGCACTGTCAAGGAACCTATGATTCGTTTGTTTGCCAATTAATTTCAAGGCAAGTATATTAATTTTTTGATGAACTTGTCTCCCCCTTGAAGTGCCTTAGGCTGGGGTGATTGGAGGGGGAAGAAATCCTCATTTCTAACACTTACCATGAAAGGGCATGTTATTCTTTTTCTAACTTGAAACTTGTGACTCTTGTCAACAGAATAAATGCAATGTGGGCTATGCATTCATCAACACGATTGATCCACAACAGATTATTCCATTCCATAAGGTTGATATGGGGATTAGATGTTGTAGTGCTTTTTCATATTTGCAAAGATCTATTTTCATGTTAATGTGTTATTAAACCAATTTGCAGGCATTCAATGGCAAAAAATGGGAACAGTTCATCAGTGAAAAAGTGGCATTGCTTGCATATGCTAGGATTCAAGGAAAAGCTTCTCTTATTGCCCATTTCCAGAACTCAAGCTTGATGAATGAAGATAAACGATGCCACCCTATTCTTTTTCATATTGATGGCACGAATGCTGGTGATCAGGTAGATTATTATGTCAAACTAGTGAACTAGCTCATAAAGAAAGTCTTATTACTAGTTTGGTTTGAGGGGAGGATTGAAATTTCCCTATTTGGGTAACAAAAAAATTGGAAGGGCAGAAATTGGAAGGTAACGGAGGGGAGGGGACGGAAGGGAAATGGACTCTGTTTCCTTTTCCCTCAAACCAAACAGGGGGTTAAAGTTTAATAACTTGTGCTACACAGCATGAGTTATTGCATTGACTCATCAAGTAGTTTGTTACTTTGAATCAGTGTGACTTGTTTTCTTGTTGATGCAGGAGCCCTTTCTCGTGGGTACTAACATTCGATCAAAACCTGGAAAGCCTCAAACTACCAGCCCTGAGAATAATCGCCAAGGCAGCTCTTCGACTTCAGCTAAGGAGGAGGAACCGTGCAATGGGGTAGACTCTTGGTCAAGTTAATCCCAAGTATTCTGACTGAGCTGTCTGCTTTACCAAGCACTAATTGTGAAGTGGCAGTTTTGAAAACCCAAATGCATTTTGGAACTATAGTTTCTTGGCCATTTCATCTATTTCTATGAAAATTTTGTATGAATGGCCGATTTGAGCATGGAGAACAGCTTAAAAATGTTCCCGAGTCTATGCATGACTCCAATGATCCCTGCTGTTCTGAATTTTGTATTCTGATGCTTCCAAATGCAATTTCCATCTCTTTTGCTCAAAGAGGGAGAGAGATGTGTCATATTATAAGTATTCTAGTACTTGAATTTTCAAACTTCCTTTTGTTTTTGGTAAAGAAAAACTTTTTTTTTCGATAAAGAAAAACTTCTTTTTTTCAATAATAAATGTATGATTCTTTTGTTGCTCACAGTTGAGATGATCAAACTAATTACAACAATAATTTAAGATTTTGGTGTTAATATTTGAAGAACAATCACATGATTATATAATGTAGTTTATACAACATAATACAAATTACTAAACATAAGAAGTAAGAATTGAATTGAGTTTTACATAATATTAGCATTTAAAAACAAAGAGAGATTTCAAAGATTACGAAACAACATTCAGATCAAGCAGATGTGTGGAATCCACCCATTTGTTTTGGTTTAATTTCCTGCCCATTCCAAGATA